GTATAGTCTGTGGATTTGGAGCACTGCATCGCGATCAGCACGATGATACTGATGAGGAAAAGTACAGACACTGAGCCCAAAGTTATCATCAGGTAAAAAGTCACATTAGTGTCCTCATCATCTTTTTTTGCTGCACTTTTAACATCAGAAGCTGCAAAAGCCTCTTTGGGCTCCACAAGCTTGACAACCACAGTAGCTGTTGCTGAGAGGGACACGTTGCCATTGTCTTTTACCAGTATGACCAGTTTGTGCTCAGCCTCGTCTGTCTCAGTGAATGAGCGAAGTGTCCTGATCTGTCCTGTGTAGCGGTCCAAACCAAAGAGACTGTGGTCAGTATGTTCCTGCAGTGAGAAGAGCAACCAGCCGTTATATCCTATATCAGGGTCATAGGCTCTGACTTTAGTCACCAAGTGTCCTGCGTTCACATTGCGGGGGATCTCCTCCACACCTTGAGCAGACCCATTGGAGCTGAGTGGATACAGGATGACTGGAGGGTTGTCGTTCTGATCCAGGATGAACACGTTGACTGTGACGTTGCTGCTCAGTGACGGAGTTCCAGAATCTGTGGCCACAACGTGGAACTGGAACGTTTTCACTGTTTCAAAGTCAAAACTCGTTAGCGCCACAATGTCTCCATTCTCAGAGTTTGGAAAGACGTGATGTCATTTTGATTCCCTTCTCTCCTAATATGGTAAGAGATTGCTGCATTGTCATTCAAATCATGGTCCGTTGCGCTTACTGAGAATATTACATTTCCAGCAATATTATTTTCTGCAAGATAAAATTCTAATGTGCTCTGTTCGAAATGTGGGCTGTTGTCATTTACGTCCAATATCTGGATGCTGAAAGTTTTAAAGGTGGATAAGGCGGGGTCACCGCAATCTGTGGCCTTTATTGTTATTTCATACTGCGGCACCTGCTCTCGATCCAAAACGCCTTTAGTGACAACTGAATATGTGTTTTCTTTATAGGAAGGCTTTAATTCAAAAGGTACCTCATTGACTATGTGTGAAATAATTTTTCCATTGACACCGGAGTCTTTATCCATCACACTAAGTAATGAAACAACTGTGCCCTGTTTTGAATCTTCAGACACTGTATTAGAAAGCGATGTCACTTCTATTTCCGGTGGATTATCGTTCACGTCTATTATCTTTACAATGATCCTACATTCACCTATTAATGGAGGTGTCCCTTTGTCAGAGGCCTCAATGTCAAGTTCATATACATCGTTTTCTTCATAATCCACCACTCCCTTTACTCTAATTTCTCCAGTTAGTTTGTCCAGTTCAAACATATCATATACTTCTTTCTTAAGAGTTTTTCCAAGGCTGTATTCAATTTCTCCGTTGATACCTTCATCTGGATCTGTTGCATTCATTACAAATACTGATGTGCCAACTGGTGCATTTTCCTGTATGTTAACTTGGTAAATCTCCTGACTAAATATTGGACGATTATCATTACTGTCAAGAACTATAATAGAAACATTTAGTGTCCCTGACCTTTGAGGTTTGCCTCCATCAACTGCTGTAACCAGGAATGTGTGTGTCCTGCTTTGTTCTCTGTCTAACGACTTCTTCAGCACTAAAAATGGTATCTTACCCGCATCACTTTGACGGATATTTACTTCAAAATGATCATTTGAAGTCAAAGTGTATGTACGAATAGAGTTCATTCCAGCGTCGGGATCACGAGCAGTGTGCAGTTGGAATCTCCTTCCTGGCAGTGTCTGTTCTGCAATTTCAAACGTCTGTTCCTTTTCAGGAAATACTGGGGAGTGATCATTTACATCGGTAATTTCTACAGTGACATAGTGTATTTCCAACGGGTTTTCAACAAGGATTTTTAGCTCCATTAGGCACGGCCCGCTGCCCTGACAGAGCTCCTCTCTGTCAATATGATTATGCACGTAAAATGCTCCATTGTTCTGACTTACTTCAAAAATAGAATCCTTATTTCCGGACACAA